ACAACAACAGCAATAATAATAATGATAATAATAATATAATAATAATAATAATAATAATAATAATAATAATAATAATAATAATAATAATAATAATAATAATAATAATAATAATAATAATAATAATAATAGTAATAATAATAATAATAATAATAATAATAATAATAATAATAATAATAATAATTATAATAATAATAACATTAGTATCAACAACAACAATGATAATAGAAACTACAGCAACAATAATGATAATAAAATCTGTTTTAATACATCGCTCCTCCTTAACGTAAATGAAATATAACATTCCTCACAATCTCCACCCGGTTCTCAATTTCGTACGGGGAAATATTCCGAAAATAAAATATTAGATACATCACTCCTCATGCACATTGAATGTAGGTAGATCTACAGTGTACTCTTTCCCTCACAACCCCCACTCCTTTCAGCGTGCTGCAGTCGCAGAAAAGGAATAATAATATAACAATCTTTAAGTTAAAAAAGAAACATTCTGCGTAGCATGCATCATCAAATCAAAATACATGAAATTAGCGTTTGAGGATCTGCACTAGATCTACTGGGTGATCTAAGAAAAAGGTTGCCAAAGCGATATGCATATTTTGGGGTTCTAGTAATGTTCTATCTTGAAAAAGAAGTTGAGACATTTGCTATTAAAGGAGACTGGGGGTCACCTGGTGTCACAAGTAAAATTAACGAGAAGAATGCCGCCAACATTTGGTGATATCCAAAGCTTGTATGTTCTTGGAAATTAAGATTGAGAGCACTTTTGATCAATGTATTTCAGTAAAATCTACACAGCAATGTGCTCTAAAGTGGACACAACAGATGTTGAGCCCCTCCCTCCCCCGCGCCCCCAACACACACAATCACACTTCCCAAATTCGATTTGCCCAAGGGGAGGTAAAATGTGGTTTTTAATAATTTCATCACCATGACGAGCGCTTGATTTCACCACGACGCCACACAAATAGTTTCATTTTGTATGTCTGTTGAAAAATATTATTATGATGTATTATGTCAGCGCAAACGGCATCGGTGGGAGTCTAAAAGAGTAATATTTTAATCAAACAGTGCAAAGGTTAAAAAAAAGTATTGTCATTTCTGGTAGTTTGATGACTATTTTCGCTTTCACTACTAATACTTAAGAAACGTGGGATATATTTGGGAGAAACAGAGGGCCTAAACTCTGGAGCATGGCATTCTGAGGTTACAAATAGGCAGGTGCTTGGTGTCCATGATGTATTGGTCTCTCAGATCAGGGTCTGAGGGTTTCCAGTCTTTGGATGGTGTGCAAGTGCTCTTGAGGCGCTAATGGATCAAAGAAACAGAAATTATATAAATGTAAGCAACAATAATGTACAAAACATGATAAAAAAGCATGATAATTACGATGATAATGATTTTGCTGATGACAAAGACTGCAACGACGAGAATAACGAATTTGAATCATGCTGATAATGATGATGGTGAGGGATTTCGTGGCCTAGAGATTAAGGTGCCCACCTCTCATTCCTTGGTTTGAATCCGGATAGCGACGGAAAAACTTCTTCTGTATGATTGTCTCCTTTCACTTCCTTTCTTGCTCTCTAGCAATGTTCTGTTGTCTGCTTTCGTCTCCACTTTCTGCCCCCCCCCTCCCCACCCTCTCATCTCATTTGCCCCCCTCCTCTGGGCTCCTGACACTTTCTGCAGTTTTTCTACAGCTACTCATTGGCTCCTTCTTACAGTTGTCTTTCAGCCACACCCCTGATCTTATGGTAGGAAAGATATAAACCTAGCCTTCTCGGACAGGATGAAAAATGTCGGAGGTCCTGTGTGCAATTTGCGCACGTTAAAGAGCCCTTGGTGGTCTAAAATCGATAAGAGTAGAATCTAGGCTTTGGCCGCCTCCAGGGCAAAAAAAAAATTTAAAAATCCCACCATCTGAAAATGTTAAATGAGTCACGAGCGCTCATATGACCTTATATTGTGAGCACCGTGAAACACTTTCAAAAAATGATAATGTTTTTTTTTTAAAAACCACGTTTAAAACGTTGGACATATTTTATAATGTCACAAAACTTCAAAAAGCTCATGTACCCATCAACTTTTTGTTTTTTCTCATCATACGTACAACAATAATGATGATGATAATGATGATGATGATGATGCTGATGATGATGATGCTGATGATGATGATGATGATGATGATGATGATGGTGTGCAAGTGCTCTTGAGGCGCTAATGGATCAAAGAAACAGAAATTATATAAATGTAAGCTCATGAGGAAGCCCACAGGGCGAAACGTTGAGCTATTAAACAAATTTAAACATTTTATATTGTTATTTTATTTTTGTCTAAAATTAAAACAAGACTCTCCCTCCTACCCTGCTTACCAAAAAATGATGATGATGATGATGATGATGATGGTGATGATGATGCTGATGCTGATGCTGATGATGATGATGATGATAATGATGATGATGATGGGGATGATGATCCTTTAACTCGACTTAAAGTGTACATATGGACTTTACCGACCTCCAAAAAACTGCCTTCAGCTTGGAAAAGTAGGTAGGCTGCATAAAGTGGGATCGGTATAAAGGAAATCAGAGCTATACACCATCCCAGGCCTTCTAGACCTTTGCTGTAGACATACCCCTTGAGTGTTGGCGGTTCATAGGACAGGAGTGTGAAGATAAACACGGCCTGGGTAATAAACAAGAAGCGAGCATATCAATCAACTAATTAATGCAGCTGGTTGTCTGTCTGTCTGTCTGTCTGTCTGTCTGTCTGTCTGTCTGTCTGTCTGTCTGTCCGAAAAGTAAAACCAAATGGCATAGGAAGAATCATTTTTATGTGGATCTAAATAATGTTACTTGTTCCTATAATATCATTATTATAGTAGTAGTAATACCATTCAGCTACTGCTCAATATAGAAGATCGATGCATACTTTTCAATCGCTCAATAGAGAATATTACACCCCTACTGAAATATCTAAATTAATTATTGTGTTGATGGTGGCGTAAAAACACCTATATCTACGATCGATAGTGTCCTTTTCGGTGCAAAGCTTTTCACAGTTTGTTCAATGTTTTCCCAATGCAATGTAGTCTATTGCTGTGATTGCTGTGATTGCTGTGAATTTTATTTTTCACATCCATGCAATAAAAAATATTAGAAAAATGAAATGGAATTTTGCACAACATACGTTTACCTTATGCTCTTTTCAACTCAACCAACACCATTATCAAAGTACTTTTACATTCATCGTAAACAGCCGTCAAATGCAAATGTCCAGGAACTTGAACTCTTCTTTAGTGGCAAGTTTTATAAATATAATAAATCTTTTTCTAATTTAACGGTCCTCTTTCTTCTGGAGGAAATAATGGAAACCACAGGGAACCAGATCAGGTAAAAGGTGTGGTTTGTGGCATCAGGCGCTGTAAGTGCTGTAAAACTCTGAAACTAAAACCCAAAATAAGCAAACTAAACGTTTATTTCTTACTCCCCCACAGGTCCTGGTTTGGCCTTTGTGGTGTATTCTGAAGCCGTCTATGTCCATCCAATATTTTCACAACAACGAGCCGTGACAGGTCGGTCCAGACCACAACATACCATCGATGACTCTTCTCCCCCCCCCCCAAAGAGGGCTCTCGTCCATTTTCTAACAGACCAGATAGAAGGAGTATATTCTCCTAGAACAGCCAGAATATCTTTGTCTGTCCCTAACTCTATAACTTACCCGGAAAATAAACCTGATAATTTTACGAGAACGTCATATTATATTGAAAAATATCCTGTTTATGCAAAACTTTTGAAGAAAATCTGAAAAGGGCAAATGCACAGGTATGTCAAGTTTCATAGCCGTAACCATACCGAAACACATTGCATGAAATGGACTTCCACCAAAACACAATGGCCATCACTTTCTTTGCTGATTGTGGCGATGAATGTTCCCACGTCATTGATCACTTTTGGTGTCTGGATGTACTATGATGCGTATGATATGTAAAAACACAGATTACCCTTCACACACATAAACGCACACTCACGCGCCCACGTACACACCCACAAACACACATACACACATTCGCACACACACACACACTACTCACCGAGAGCAATGTTGGTGTCACAAATATCCACAGAATTTCAAATATGAAAGGAGGCTTGGATCCAATCATCAGCGCAATATCGTCACAGAACCTATTTGCACCTGTAAGAAACCCCAGAATACCCAAGAATTATCTTTTTAAAAAAAAGTTTGAAACCTGCATACAATCATAAAATAAATGACGATTGTCTTTGGTGTAATGGTGAGGACCTTTGTAATCGTATGCAGAAGATGTACGTTCGATTTTCGAGTCAGGAAATGTTTTCTTTTTTTTTTCATTGAGTATCTCCGTTTGTACACTGGGATGTTCTATCTCTCACAACCCAGTTTGGCCCTAACAAATAGTTTTATTATGTATATCTCTAAAACATATGTATTATGTCAGCGCAAACGGCATTGATGGGGGTGTAAAATAATAACATTTTAATCAATCAAACAGTGCAAAGAATTTTTTAAAAAGTGTCGTCTTTGGGCACCCTGCCTCCTAAATGATCTAAATTGTGGTGATGGAGGATTAAAACATCTGCATTACAACTATTATTTTGTTGATTCAATCAAGAATTATTAAAATCACAGTCGCACGATGACAAATGCTTAATTTTTCTGGTTTCGCCCCCCCCCCACCCCACCCCCGGGAAATGCACACTTGAACTTGAAAACCCCAAATATTACTTTCTCCAGAGGCCTTTGTGAGCCATCTATCTCAATCTGTATCAGGATAGACAGACATTAATTTCGACCTGTGTTCGAGAATATATCGAACTCTGAGTATCTAAGTTTTCTTTGTTATGTGAGGCAGCGTGGTGGAATCAGGCTCTCGTCAATTTTTGAGCATGTAGAGTTATTGGTGTCACCGTAAAGCTTGTTCACTTGTCCTTATTTCAATGAAAAAATTATCCATTTATCTTGAGTACAAGTCGAGATATTTGCGAATGAAGGAGGTGGGGTCACCTGTTATCAGAGGTAAAATTAGTGAGAAAATGGCCGCCAAAGATTGGTTATTTCCTTAGCTTAAGTGTCCAAGGTAACTGAAAATTTACATTTTTGTGCCTTTAATCAACGTTTTTAAGAAATATCCACACATAAATGAGTTTTTTACAGGGCATGAAAGGTGTAGAGCCGAAAAACAAAAATTTGATAAAAATTCACAAACCTGCGGAAAAATGCAAGTTTCTTCACTTTGATTATTTTGACGAGAGCCTGATTCCACCACGCTGCTTCACATATGTTTTCATTCTCCTCTGCCCTCTCGATCAAGAAAAAGCGTAAAAAATTCATAATATAGTAACCCCCCCCCCCAAAAAAAAAAAGAAACACGAAAAAAAAGAAAAAAGAAAAAAACAACAACCGATAAACAAATAAACAACAACGAAAATAATACTAAAAATAAATAGTAAACAAGTACATAATATTTTTAAAAAATTGAAAGATTAAATTATAAAAACTAATAACAATAATTTAAAGTGAACCATGGGGTTTTCAAGGCATTTACTTTAGAGATCTGAAAATCTGACATCTACTCTTACCATATATCCAGCCCACGGCCAAACATTCCAAGATACCAATGACCACTGTACTAAGGGCAGCGACGTACCAGTCCACCAGCTGGAAGTAATACATCCCTCCCTGGGAAGAAGCAGAGGGTGGGGCATGTGGGGGGGGGGGGGGATACAGGGGGTGTGGGTGGGGCCGGAGTGGGGCAGGGGGTGGTGTGGGGGACGGGGCAGGGGGTGGCGGTGGTGGTTGTAAAAGGCGAGTTGTAATTACGGTGGGTAGATCACGGCGCAATATGGTTCCAAACACAAGGTTTTGGGAAAACAACCATTAATTTAGTTTTCAGAAATCCACTAAAACAAGGCTCCTAGAAAATAACCATTGATTAAATTTAGTGTTCAGAATTGACAATAACAGGGTTTCCAGAGGACAACCATTTAGTTTTCAAAATCACAAAAAAACCAACAATAACAACAAACAAACAAACAAAAAGACCAACAAGATTTCCTTCCAGAAAATAATTATTCAGTTTAGTTTTCAGAAACCTTGAAACAAATTTTCGAGGAAATAACGATTTAGGTTCAAGGTACATTGATAATAACACCAGTAATGTGGTCAAATTATGTTGTGTTTACCTATGTTGCTGCAAGTTCAGGCGGAGGATGGGAGTATGTGAGTCTCTCTCCTCGCCATTTATTCTGGGTTTTGAGTGTGTGTTTGTGTGTGTGTGTGTGTGTGTGTGTGTGTGTGTGTGTGTGTGTGTGTGTGTGTGTGTGTGTATGTGTGTGTTTTTGTGTGCGAGTGAGAGAGTGAGTGAGGGAGTGAGAGAGAGAGAGAGAAAGAGAGAGAGAGAGAGAGAGAGAGAGAGACAGAGAGAGAGAGAGAGAGAGAGAGAGAGAGAGAGAGAGAGAGAGAGAGAGAGAACGAGCGAAAGAGAAGGGAGGAGGGGAGGTAGGTGTTCATTTTCTTTCTTAACACCAAGTGCCGTATAAAACAACGACTAGAACAACATTTGTTATGTCAACAACAATGTCAATGTTAATAACTGCAAAATTCGAATGACGATTAGTCGTATTGATCACACTGTCGTGAAAGATAAACCATAAATTGCAATAGTTTATTTCCTGTGGTCTTAGTTATTATTACGACTAATAGGAGAACAAGCAATGATCGATCGTTAGAGCCAAACCGATAAATGGTGCTGCTGCTAGTGGTGTTGATAATGATGATGATGATGGTGATTATTACAAATCCCTTAAAGGATTGATGAAGCTTCTTACGGAATATAATCGACTCACCCGGGAAGCAAACACGAGCGACAGAACCAGAATAAACGCCATAAACGCACATGTCAGGGGAACTTTGAAACGACTGGCCATCTTGGGCCATAGATCAGATACTGTGGTCATCACCGTTTCCACACACATGAACTGCGAGTAGATAAATAACAATAATAAATAGTATTTCAACAGCGTAATTCCCACTCAATAGCAAACTCTATGAGCTGTACATGGTACACTATATCTATAATATATATCTATACAACTATGATACTGTTACCACAGCAGACCTGATGGTATTCTGAAACAACCTCAACTGCCTGGGAAGCATACAGTGCAAACCATCTTTTTACAGGTTAAAAATACTAACATACTAAGATCTTTTAGTGCCTGTGGCCGGGTACCGAGACCACCTTATTAAAGAGAAAAACATAATAAGCACGTCTCGCCGGGTACCCATTCCCGCCTGAATGAAGGGAAAAACATTTTGAGTACAGTGCCTTTGCCAAGGATACAACTTCGGGCTTGGGCCTCGAAATCCCGAACTTGCAACATGACATCCACCCACAAAACAGTGTGAAGGGTATGGTCCAGCAAAATCGTGTGAAAGACATGGTAAGAATTCAGCACAGTCGTTGGAAGTGTATCTTCAGCAAGGTATTCCAATTCTTTAAGCTTAGAAACCATTTTTTAAAAGGAGAGACAAACATTAAAATAATAACGACGACGATGTACTCACATGTGTGTCCAGCCCCAGAGTGATGAGCATGGCGAAGAATAGCACAGACCACAACTGCGGTATTGGCAGGTAAGACAGAGCTTCAGGATACACTACAAAGGCCAAGCCAGGACCTGCGTGGGAGTAAGAAATAAACTTTTATTTTGCTTTTTTGTGGTTTTAGTTTCAGAGTTTTACGGCACTTGCAACGCAAATAGATAGGTCACATAAGTGCCGGATATTAAAAGTGTTACTCGAGAGTATCATGCTAGAAGAAAGAGATAAGAGCAATACTATTTGACAAGAAAGAAGGAGCAAACCTCACCAACCACCCGCTGACCACCCACAAAAAATAAACGTTTTGAGAGTTGCCATATTATTTTAGGTTACAGTGGTCTGTTACAACCGCAGACACCCCCCACCCCCTCAAAAGGAAAAGGTAAAGCAATCTGAGAATGCTGTAGATCTGATGATCACGTTATTTTTTTAAAACTCTAAACAAAATTGAGAAAAACTCGATTAATCCCAGAAATATCAACACCTCCACTACCCCGCTGATTTACGCCCCTCCCCTTTCCCCCGTTGCTTTAACCCCCCCCCCCCCCCCAAAAAAAAAAATAAAAAATTCCATCCCCCATCCTCTCAAGAATTTGGCGTGTGTTATATAATTTATACTATATAAAACAAACAAATAAACAAACGACCCTCCCCCCCCCCCCAACTTTTAGAGAAGTTTCAAACGAACAAAGATAAAAATGATTTAGTCGCCGACATGTTGAAGATGTTGCAGGATAGTCTTTGTTTGACATGACACAGGCGTGAAACATGACCTCCTAAAGGTGACTTAGCAGCGTATAACGCTCTCGATGATTCTTGTTACCCGCTTGTTTTCATGGAGGGTATAGAAGAGCAAGATTGATCCCTTGGAAAACAGTTTCCAAATAAAACTTCGAATTGTCAGATGTCTGCAATATTTGATACGATACGACTTTGAACATACATGGAGTCTGGGTTTTACAGTTCCACCTATTACCAACTTATGAGTCCCGAGTAAAATTCCCGTAGATGATCGCTTCTTCTGTACTGATTAAGGGCATGGAAGACAGGAGTTTACCATTTATTGCTTGCCTTTTGATCTCTAGTGTCAGAGGTTGGTGTTAGGCCTGCTGAATTAGAGGGCTTAACTCGGCAGAGTACCCAAAGGGTATCAACGGAGAGTTTAGATAGACTGAGCGAGCGTAAGCACTGTGGTCACCGTGTGCTGGATGATAATAGCATGGTCGCGAGAGAGAGAGAGAGAGAGCGAGAGAGAGAGAGAGAGAGAGAGAGAGAGAGAGAGAGAGAGAGAGAGGCAGAGAGAAGGGGGAATAGATAGATAGATAGATAGATAGATAGATAGATAGATAGATAGATAGATAGATAGATAGATAATTAGATAGATAGATAGATAGATAGATAGATAGACAGATAGATAGATAGAATGCCGTCGTGTAATGATCACAGGTCAGTACAACAAAAGATCTATAAGTACTACAAAGTTTCTCTTCCGCTGTGCCACAGACATGTGTGTCAAAGGCGTTCTCCCAGTACAGAAAAAGAAACCATTTTTATTGTAAAGCTCTCAATTTTCTCGAGCTTTTCACGACAGAGATTAATTCTCCTTTTGGAAAGTCTCAGGAATCAGCAAGTGCCTCTGCATACAGGTATTGGAAAGGAAAAGAAATTCTGCCACCCCATTTTCTAATGCAGGCGGTGTTCCCATTTAATCATTTTCTTTGAAAATTCTTCACACTTCCACACATCGCCCTTATGTAACGTTTGGCGTGTTAATGAAATTCTACTTTGAAAGTAGGCCTACTGGTCTCAGGTAGAGTTCCATTTTCGCTGATTTGCAAAAAAAATATGGAGCCTTTCAGTATTCACAGGTGAACAAGTACGCTTGTTTGTAGAAAGGTGATGTTCGCTTTCTCTTAACGCTAACAAACACTTCTACCAATCTACCGAACGAAATGCAAGGGTGAGGACCTACGAATTAACATCCTTCTTTTGCAAGATTTAAGTCAATGATTCACGGTTACTGTGCCTTGACGATGTCCTTAGGTACTCACCTTTCCATCCACGTATAATCTCCAAAATTAGGAATAAAAAAAAAATTACCCTCCCCCCGTTGACACAAATTAGGTTGTTCAAGAGGAGGGCTTTGACCCTAACTGTCAGGGCCGAACAGAACTGAGAGGGATAGAACATCCCGGCTAAAAATTCTCCTCACTCGGGAATCGAACTAAGGTCCCTTGCGTACGACAGAGGTCCGCCTAAATGCTGTACCACAGACGCCAGTAATTGGTCGATCCTCTTATCTTTGACGTATCAAGACAGTTTAGGTTCTGAATCAGGTTCAAAGGCAGCATTAGACCCTGAGATAATGGCAAAAGTAGATTTCAAATGGCGGCCATTTTAAAATCCAATATGTCTTCCATGTCCAAATGTCAACACCATTCACAGCAGAAGGATTGCCGACCTTCTCTTTATTGAACTAATACCTATTCAAACGGAATACCCCTGTTCCTCTCGGTCTCAGAAAACTGCTTCTGGACCTAAACACCTACCAGCCTGAGTGAAAGCTGAAATAGGGACGTTCAGAGTTCCCGACATGTGTCCCAGAATGGTGAAGATGGCAAAGCCAGCAAACACACTTGTCCCCTCGCACAAAACGGTCAACAGAACAGCGTCTCTGGATGACAGAATTATCGGCAAGATCAGCGTCACCGTCGTCGTCATTGTCACAAATAAGTGTCACAGTCAGTGTCCTCGTCAGTATCTACGTCATCCAGTCGTTGGAGGTAGTGTTAGTCTCCACACAAAGTGCACACTGCATTTTGATTGAAAAACGAACGAAACAAAGCCAATGGATACCATTTCTCAACCTTCAATGACGAATAATCTTCATTACAGAAAAAAAGATGTTCAGGCATACTGCCCCCCCCCCCCTCCTTTCTTTCCCAGTGTATCTGAAAAAAAAAAGACTGAACGTTAAAAAAGAAACCGGGATATGACAACCTTTCATCTCATCTGAACTGAGGTGCTGTCGTAAAACCTAGGGAATATCTAGAATCATGTATAGAACGAAT